TATGCTTATACATATCCCTTATTGTTTCCTGCAAATCTCATCCTATTTCCGATTCTCTAATTTTCCATCACTATTCTTCACGGCGCATGCCTCACTTGTTGCTAGGGTTCTTCAGTCTTCTTTTGGGGGGCTTTTGGATGAAGGCTTACACTCATCCTCATTGTCCTCTGGATGGCCTTACAGGTTGCGTGTGCACACTCAGCGTTGTGTTATGGAAGTAAGCATTTTCTTCCACTAATTAGTCTTACATTTCATAATTTCAGGCTTCATGCCTAAAGGCATTCCAACCTTGTCCATCTCAAGGTCAATTTTGTCTTGAGACATTACTTAGCTCAAAACTACATCCTGTACCTTAATTTTAACATATAACACCTGTAAAGGGGTACATCTGCCTTGTAACACTAATTCCCTTGATTGCTACTAATAATAACTTTCTAAATAGTTACAATTTAGTTAGCATGAATCATTTCCATTTATCACACTCATGATATCCAAGAATTTACTGCCAGGGTGTCACGATCCCCAAGATGGGATTCCTGATGTGGTTCTCTGATTTGATCTTAGAGTACAAAAGATTATCAGGAAACCAGGGACTTAAACAGCAAAACACACTTTATTGAGTGCTCATCAGCACTAATATGTGATAGAGGGAAAGAGGAGAAAGCAAAGCAGAAGGAAAAGAGAGTAAGGGGATTATAGCTACCAACGTCGAGGTCCACTCAGCCATCCATCAACGCAGGGTCTTCTGTCCATTGGGGAGATCTCAAAGGAAGGTAAGTTTGGGGTGTAATTTTATAGATATTACAAAGCAAGGGGCATAGGGCCAAAACCAGAGGAGATTGATGATCACTGTGATGAATTCCATTGTGCAGGGGGCGGGGGTAGGGTAGAGAGCAAACCACGTCTTGCAAGCCTTTGTTCACCAGCAGGAACGAGGGCACTGTACCGTGCAACCACCTGCAAACAATCACTTAGCAAACATCCACCTCAGCTAGGCCCAAACCCCTAAACCAAATATCTTGTGATATTCAGGGTCTTCATCTCTGTCCTTGAGATGGTTGTGACACAGATGAGAGAACCTTCAGACTGTCTTTTACACCCTGGGACCCCCATGGGATCCTCTTTCCTGGGCATGAAGGGTTTGGCAGGACCTCTGGGACACTTGGGGTGGCAGTGGGATCCCCACAACCAGGATCCTGTCTTTTCTTATTTGTCTCCTGAACTTTGCAGCACCCACAGGTTTGGGACACTTATTCCTGAGAGGAGCTTGAGCTCAGTAGGACTCCCAGAACTGTGGCAATCCCAGGTTGGGGGTCAGGCCACTGGGGACACAGGACATCAGGATACTCAGGAGCATTAACCTCCCCAAATTCTGAGTCCCTCCTGTGGTGATTGCACCCCCTCTCCATGGGATCCCCATGGTAATGACACAACCCTTGTGAGTGGAGTGGGCTTATCAGGACCCCCAGGCCATTAACACCTCACCCCTCTGCCTGGGATCCCCAAAACCATGTTATCCCTCCTTTCAGGAGATTCTGAGGCAGGCTGAAACCACAGAGGAAATAAACACCAAGGGCTCAGCGTAAAGGGTGCAAAGAAATCAACGGTCCGTAAGCACAAGTGGCAATTAACCCATTTTGGGTTAAGTTTAAGACAGAAATAAGAGTTTTCAGCTGGTAAACAGAGCAGGCCGTTCACAACTGCCCTTAAAGAAAAGAAACTCGACCAAGATTTCGACCTTGGTTTCTTGTGACTGGATGTTGCTCTCGGCGCCATGGCGTGATTGTCAGGGTGGTGTTAGAGCATAAGTTTACTGCCCTGCAGGTGACACATGAGGGCCATCAGGGGGCACCGAGTGTCCCCTCCAGTCACAGTCCTGCAGGGGACAATGCTGACCAAGCCCCCTTTCCCTTGACTTGCCCCATGTGACTCCGCCCCTTTTCACACCGTAACCGCCCCTTGGCTTCGGCTCTGCTCCGCGCATCTCTCATTGGCCGGCAGTGTCCCCTCGTGCCCACCGCCACCTCTCATTGTCTGGCCGCTAGTGATGGATGGTGTTTAGGCAGAGAGTCGGAGCTGAGCCACGCAGAGGAAAATTTAATGTTTTGTCATTTTCTTAACTTAGCCGCTTTTAGTTAGGACACTAGAGCATAGCAAGCTTCATTAATGTTTAGCTCAGAGTAGAGTATTGTTGTTGTAGGGAAGCTCAGCAGTAGCCTTTTAGGAGAAAAGAGAGAATTGTCATAGTAAGAATGAAGCTATCAAAGCGAAAGCTGGGACTCAGAAGCGGAGCATGCACGTGCTACAAGCTGTCAGCCGGAACAGGCCACCCAGAGGAGAGAATGATGAAGGTGAATATGATGAAGTAGCCAGAAGAGGCTCTGTTTCAGCCCTGGATTTCAGCAAGACTGGCAATAAAAGCCCAAAAGCCTCCAGAGCCCTGCTAGGTTCCTTTCCTTGCCACACCGTGCCTAAGGCAGACGGTGCCTTCGGAGCTGTGCACTCTGGCCCGGCTGTGGCCTTCGTGGCTTTGCGCTGCTTGCCAGCGGCCCAAGGCTCTCCCCCTCACACTGGGGCCCTGCCCCAGCCCAGCCCACCTGCCCTGTAGAGATGTTGTCCCCTGTGACCTGGTGTCCCCCAGGGCCAGCTGCAGCTGATGGCGGGGCAGCAGGAGGGAGCAGGCCCTGGTTGTCCCCCGCTCCAGGCCATCGCTTGGCATGGGAGAGGAAAGGAGGGCTGAAATGGCACTAAGGCTTCCTAAGGCTTCCCTCCTGTAAACCTTTGGGGCACCAAAGCGCTCTACTCAAGGGGGTCTGGGGCCCTGCATGCGCCTCTCTGTGGTGAGGTGTCCTTCTTCCTTCCCTCAGCCCTACAGCCCTACAGCTGCTTGATGTGAGCTGCCTGGGTATGGGAAAACAAATGAGGGATCAGCCCTACAGCCCTACAGCTGCTTGATGTGAGCTGCCTGGGTATGGGAAAACAAATGAGGGATGCAACACAGAGCACATTTGAGCTTCTGTTCTGCCCTGGCAGAGCTACAGCCCATGGCATAGGCACCTGTGGATGGGAAGGGAGAGCTGGGAAAAGTACAGCATGGGCTGTATCTAGGTACAAGCTTTCAAAGTATCAAGTTGTTTAAAACCATGTGATTTTGGAACACAAATGATTCTGTAAGGGGTGGAAAATTTTTTGCTTGGGGCTCTCACTACTTAGGGCTATCACTGCTTGAGGCTGCAATGGGACATCATCTGAACCTTGAAATCAAGAGATGACTTCAGTGACTTCAAGGACTTCAAGAAACCGCTTCAACCTCTTTTCTCTTTGCACTTCCAATCAACCTCGGACTTCTTCTTGCTCGGCCTTGCATTTCTTTTGGCCAAAGCTTCCTGCTTAGGTTACTTTTTGCTGTCCTCCTTTAGAGTCCCATCTCTCGGTCAGCACAGCACCTAGAAACTGGGGCCAAAGAGATGCTTTCATATGGAGGCAACTCTCCTGGCTAACTACTGCAGATTTGCAGCAATAGAATTGCAGGGTAGAGCTGAGCCATTCAGCAATTGTTGGAAGTTTCAAATGCCACCCTCAGCATGCCAAGTGTGAAGAGCCCAGTGGAAAGCTCCTCCAAGACACTGTGCTGCCCCCCAGCAGCAGGGCATGTGTCTGGGCTGAGTCAGCAGGAAAGTAAGCTAAGCCTAGGATCATCATTCCACCGGGAGCAGAGTTGATTTCCAGAGCACTTGCATTGCATTCCCTTTTTCCACCCTCTCCCAGCCACTACATCAAGCTGCCTCCTGTGTTTAACTTGGGCCTTTGCCAGAGAAGGGAATGATGGCGTCTCCTTTTCTTTGGGCTGTGGCCATCCAAATGTCTGCAAGGAATCTTGCAGGGAGCATGGAGTCTGGGCAAACGTCTGTGAGAGTGGGTTCAAAAGGGGCCTTCTTTGGGCTCCACATCTGCGTGGCATTGCAGAGCAGTGGCTGCTACCCGAGCTCCAACACAACAAAACTGAGGCAGCCCAAGAATCAGCCGACAGCTCCTCTGGGTGTTCTCTGGCCTTCATTTGCCAGAGAAACGGCACGAGTGAGGAGAGGAGCTTGGTGTCAGGAGATAAGCCAACACCTCCCCGCCACAAAGGGAGCTCGGGCTCCCAGCGCAGTCACAGCAAAGGTCAGCAGGCACCTACATGCTCAAGAAGCAGCTGCACACTGCAATACTGCTGGAAATTCATTTGCTTTGCTTCTTTTGTCCCCCATGTGTCATGGAAGAAGTTAGGTGTCGCTGTTGGACACAAAATGATTCACACAAACACAGCTCAATGTGTGATAGAAAAAGAGAGATTTATTCTGTTGTTTCAGTACTTAGAGATCCTCAACAAAAAGAGAGATTTATTCTGTTGTTTCAGTACTTAGAGATCCTCAACAATGACCAGGGATTGGATTGTCAGGTTACTACCTTCCCAAACACACTGGTCATGAGAAATATGTATTAAAAAACATATCTTTAATGGAATGTATAAACACCTATGTTTATAGTTACTATCCTCAGAAAGTGTCTAAAAACTATGAAAACAAGATCAGAAGGTTTAATTCTCAGAGCAAAAGTTTGGCTTTTGAGAAGCAACTAAGAGGCCAGCCGGAAGAAGTACACTTGCTCTTAGTCATAGCCTTGGGGCCCAGAAGTGGGGTTTGCTTTGCTTTCTTGACATCCTTCTTCCTTCCCAGGCCTCTCCTTGGGCTAGGGAGCTGCAGGATGGCTGCATTTGCTGAGCTCCCCTGGCAAGCCTGGAGCACTGCAGCACGCCCTGTAAGGATTTCTTTGGCTGCTTTATGACTGAGGGCAATTTCCCAGGCTCCTCTTTTGCCTCGGCTGGACACAAGATTGGGTTGCCGGGCACAATGACGGCAGCAAAGCCAGAGCTGCTGCTATTGTGAGGTCAAGGGAGCGCTGCCACGTCACAGTGCTGTCAGCGCGGCGTTGTCCCGGTGCGCGCAAGGCCCCGTTGTTCCAGGGCAGCTCTTGCGCTCGCTGCCTCGCTGCAGGAGGACCCTTGTGAGCAAGGAGTTCTCAGCAGACGGCCTGCACCCCGAGAGGAGTCTTGCTTTTTTCCCTTGGGTGGCATTCGGCATTGTGCAAACCCGCACAGCACTGCTAAAATGATCAAGCAAGTCTGTGCCGTGGTTTGCACTGTTTTCTCCGTGGCATATTCTGGCTACTTCCTGGCTCACCTGACAGGTAAGGAAAGCTCACTCCTGGGGGGAACATCTCCTTGCCTTGTGCTTCACTCTACTCCTTATGCTCATGGAGGGAGCCGGTATATCTGGCAACAAAATTGCCATGAAGACGCCAGCTTTCCTTTGCTAAAGCTCCTGCCAGGGGCATTGGCTGCAAAGGGTGTGTCTGTACTCGCTGCAGGGTGGAGAGTATTTGCATTGGAACCTGCTGCAGCCGTGCTCTCTCCACGGGAGAGCGCGTGGCAGCGCAGTCTGTCATTTCCTCAGCTTGCTGCTTCAAGCTGCAAATTGCAAACTCGAAGGAGAGATGCTCAGTAGTACCTGTAAAATCTCCAGGATTCTCTCCAGGGCTGAGGGAAAGAGTCTTTTGCTCCAACTCCTGCCGTGAGAAGCCTTGGCTGTGTGGCTTGAGCCTTTCTGGTGTGCCAAAGAGAGCGATTGCCTTGGCCACCAAGCACAAACTCCAAAGCCAGTTAGGCTTTGCTGCTGAAGCCGGGAGCTGTTCCCGGGCTGCTCGAGCAGAGGGCTGCCACAGCTGAGGGGCCCTTTGGGGCCGCTTGGCTGAGCTAGTGTCTTCAGCCAATGCATGGGAATCCCTGCATGCAATTGATGTGAAAAGCTGCTTGTGCTTCTGGGCAGAACAGAAGCTCTGGCTGTTAATGAACAACTGGCATTTCCATGCCTCTCTTTCTATTTCTCCCCTGGCAAAAGACATCCAAATGTAGACAGAGCATAGTACGGTGTCCTTGTCCTTCGCTTGCTTGCTTGCTTGCTTGCTGTGGGACAGAGCTCTTGGTCCCCTCAGATGGGAGGGATGTTGGGGAAGGGAAATGCTCTCTGTTGGGACTGACTTGTCTGGTGGGAGTCGCCAGCACAGGCGCTTCTCTGAGGGCCTCTGCTTCCTTTCCCCTTGCTGGCTGCAGGTCACTTCACCCGTGGATGGAGACAAGCGTGTCCTTTGGTGAGTGAGTGGCAAAGGAGCCTCTGACCTTGCTGGCGTGTAAGAATTGTGCAGCAAGCTGTGAGCTTGGCCTGTTGCACTGGAGTGGAGAGCGGCAGGCGGGGAGGCTGAAGGAAAGCCCAGCTGCCTGTTGGCATCAGCGGGAGCAAAGGCAGCACTGGCTCTTTCCTAATTTTCCCATTAAGAGCCTTCCAAGAGAGGAAAGCCAAGTGTGGCAGCCCAAAAGGTGTCTTGCTGATTGTAGCCGGGGTGCAAGATGAAATGCATGGCAAGATGGAGGAGCACCCAATTCAGCCATCTCCATAGGCTTTGGATGGCTCAGAATGCCATTTGTATCAAAGTCTAGGATTTCCCCTTAGTCCAGGTGCTTGGGCAGCTGAAGAGCAAGCAGCTCCTGAAGGATTGGCTGCTGCCAGTGTGTCTCACTGCTGTCTGTCTGCAGGGCTCAAGGGCAGGGTCGGCACCTCCTCTGGCTCCCTCTCTTGTGGAGGAAGAGGCTGAAGAGGAGCAAGAGCACATCAAGCCCCCAGCTGCTGTCCCTCCACGGCCCCAAAAGGCTCCCGCAGCTGCCGGCACTGGGTCCGGCAGCCCCGCCCAGCCGGCCGAGACGAGAGAGGAGCAGAGGCTGATGAGACTGAGTACGTCTGCTGCATTTCTGGCGGGTTAGAGTAGAATGCTGCTGTTCTTTCAGGCAGATGGGATTGGCTTGCCTCTGCCTGAGCTGCCTTCTGCGGCAAAGACACAGGCAGCGATTGTTTCTGCTTGAGCACAAGGCTGGCACTTAGCCAGTGGCTCGGCCCCAGGGAGCTCTCAAGCTGCCGACTGGCAGTGGGGGCTGCATTTTGGATGGTCTGGGAAGCGGCGTCTCTGCAGTGCGCCTTGCACTGCTTCTGTCTTTCAGGGAGCGTTGTGAGCCCGGGTGAGCCAAGGAGCAAATACACGGCCCTTGAAGAACTTGGACGAGGGTAAGCGTGACAAGGTCTGCTCCTTGTACAACAGCGTGGGCCAGGGCTTTCGCTGCTGCCATATCCAGCGCCAAGTCCAAACACGGTCCAGCGCTGGCTTTTCCTCCTGCCACCTCTCACGACTGCCGAGTCAAGAGCAAGCAGATGGCATCATCCAAGACAACCTGGTGCTGGCAGTGTCTTGCTTGTGGCAAGGAGCAGGAGCTGGAGGATCTGCTGGCCCTGCAAGCTTGATGGGCCAGCAGAGCACCTTGCCAAACAAGAGCTGCCAGATAATAGTTCTCAAAGACAGTGTTTCCAAAGTCTGTCTTGTCCACTTTATACACGCACACACACACACAGACACACAGGCTTAAGAGCCCCACTTTCTTGTGCGTTTGCTTCGGAAGCAAGTGCATGTGTGCCTTGGAGATTTGCAGCAGCTCTTGGTCTTCATGTTAGACCCGAGTGTTCTCTTGGACACCCTGAAGGTCCCAGGGCGGCTGGGCTGATGTGCTCTTGGCTGAAGAGACACTGCAGCCAGGCTCTTTGGAAAGAGTGCAGCAGGCAGCGTGGGGAGATCCCCTGCCTAGACTGGCTTTCAATGCCAGGGACTAAAGGGCTTTTTCTGCTGCCCTTTTCTTTCTAGGGGCTTTGGAGCTGTTTATAGAGCCCTGGACGCCAGCACAGGCAAACAGGTAAAGGGTCAGCAGCCCCGGCGGATTGTGCAGCTCCGGAGTGCTTCCCCCGCTGCTGGAAACCGTGGCTGGAGCTTTGGCCGGCCGCTCCGTCTCTGCAGCAGAGGCTGCTCGTCAGAAGCACAGATTGGGCTCAGTGTGCAGAATGCTGCATTTGGGATGGGCTTTGGTGCTTGTCTTAAGCTCTGCTGTCTAGTAACAAGGCAGTTTGGTAGAGCTCGGCTGCGTCGTTGCACAAGCACTCACTCCGTGTTCCTTGTGATCTGCTGCAAGGAGCAACTGCTCAAGTGAGCTGTCCTCTATTTCCTTTTAGGTGGCCATCAAGAAAATGATGTTGGAAGAGGAGGATTCCGAGGAGCTGGCTGTCAATGAAATCGTGGCCATGAGGGACAACAGGAATCCCAATATTGTCATCTACTTAGACAGGTTGGGCTGTTGGCATGTCAGCGTTCCTTCAGATAGTGCAAGGCAGAAATGAGCAAGCCCTTTGGTCAGGGGCACAAAGCAGAGCTGCTTGTGCTTTCTCTAGTCGTGTCCAGCACATGGGAGAAGGTTGCCCTTGGTGTGCAAGAATCTCTTCTGGCACATGTAGCTTGGAGAGCAGTGGCAAAAGCCAGGCTCAGGCCCTCGGGTGACTGAGCTGTGCCCGTTGCTCTCTCTCCATGCCGTGCTTTTTCTTCTTGCAGCTACCTGGTCAACGAGGAACTCTGGCTGGCGATGGAGTTCATGGACGGCGGCACGCTGTTCGATGTGCTCAGGGCAGTGTACCTGGAGGAAGGACAGATAGGCGCTGTCTGTCGGGAGGTGAGGGATGGTGCCTGTGCCGGCCCTGGCCTGCACAGGATGGTCCTTGTCAGCCGGTGGGGAAGAAGAGCAGAGGTTTCTTGCTCACACCTTTGTTTTGGTGCTGCTGTCACGACACCAGGAGAAGAGCGAGCATCTGAAGGGAACTGCCTGCCGTTGTCCCCGCACTTGTCCAGGCTCTCTTCTCACTCTCTTACGTGGCGTCTGTCCTCTGACGCTCGTGCTCGCTCACTCGCTTGCTTTCACTTGTTTCCTCTTGGCACCTCTGCCTCTCTGCGTTTGCCTGGAGCGTGTCTGTCTGTCCTGAGCCCCTTGCTGCTCCAAGGCAGTGTGCTGCTGGCTGAATTTCTAAAGGGATTAGAAGGGATGTGCTGAGCTTCAAAGGATAGCACTGCAGCCCAGATGGCACTGGATTCTGCAACAGGTCTATCGTGCTGCTTCCTCCTCTGCTGCCGCAGCTCTGCCAATAAAATCTTTGCCATGCCACTGGTCCAGTCAAAGATACAGCCAAAAGTCCCGTGCTTCCTACCAAAGGCAGGAGGGGCTCTTGGAAGCTCAGATGCCTTTGCTTCAGAAGACAGAAAACACTTGTAAGAGTGCTGAAGCAGCAAACTCTTCCTCTTGCTGACAGCATGATGCTGTGCTCACAAATTCCCTGAGAAAGCTGTCAATCTCCTCCAGCCCTTTCCTTTCTTGTGGCATGAAATCTGGTGGCCTGAACTTTTTCCCTTTGCCTCCCTCCTTTCTCTCTCAGTGCCTGCAAGGTCTGCATTTCCTTCATTCCCGCCGAGTCATCCACAGAGACATCAAGAGCAGCAACGTTCTTATGGGCACCGACGGATCGGTCAAATTGGGTGGGTATGGCCGGTCAGGCGCAGCGTAGCCAGCATGTGCTGTGGGGCTGCTTTTGGGGTGACTGCTAGTCGCCCAGAAGCGCTGCTTGGCCAGCAGGGGCATGCTGAGGGCAGTTCTCAAGTGAAGTTTCTCATTTCCCGGGCTGCAGACGTGTGGAAGCAGAGCACCACAGCTTTTCCAGCCAGGAAAAAGATCGAGCATGGCCTTGTCAGGCTTGGAATGGGCAATGCTTGTGGCTGGTTTGCCAGCGGTCGCTGTCTTTGACAGGCTTTGTCTTTCTCCTCAGCTGACTTTGGTCTCTGTGCTCGGCTCAGCCCTGAGTGCAGCAGCTGCCACTCCAGCGTCGGCACTCCCAGCTGGATGGCACCAGAAGTGGTGAGAGGAGAAGCCTACGGCCCCAAAGTGGACATCTGGTCCCTGGGCATCACGGGGCTGGAGATGGTGGAAGGGGAAGCTCCTTACCAGAGGGAGCCCAAGTTCAGGGTAAGCTGCAGCTTCCCAAGGGGGCTGTGTGTGGAGAGAGCTGTTGTGCCTAGGAAAGGAGCAGCTTGAGCTTTGTCCCCTTGCCTTTCTCGTAGGTTTTTGAACTGATCGAAAGGAACGGGCCCCCAAAACTGCAAAAGCCCAGGCACCACTCGGCTCTCCTGCGCGACTTTCTGCGCTGCTGCCTGCAGGCGGACCAAGACAGGCGCTGGTCTGCCCAGGAGCTCCTGCAGGTAAGCAAAAGGGAAGCGGCAAGAAGCCCTGGGAGCTGAGGACAGCCGCAGGAAGGGATGAAGGGGACTGTGGGCCACGTGGGCCTGGCTGAGCCAGGTGAGCGGCGCAGGAAGGCGCAGGGGCAGAGGCTGCTCTGGCTCCTCTTGCTGTGTCTTGCTGCTAGCCCAGGAATGGTGCTTGAGTGCCAGAGGCTGAAGAGAAATCTGTCATCTTGGAAAGTAAGGCTCCCTTTCCTGTTTGTTTTCTCTCTGAGCAGCATCCGTTTGTGACCTCAGGCCAGCCTGCCTCCAGCCTGGCTGCTCTGATCCTCTCAGCCAAGCAAGCGCAGGAAGACCGGAGAGGAGAGGCTTGCGCCTGAGGAAGCCTTTGTGCCGCGCCAGCCACAAGGAGTTCAAAGGGGATGGATGGTGTTTGGACAGAGAGTCAGCCATCCATTCAGTTTTTTAAGGAGGTGTTCATTTGTTTGGAAGTTTTTGTTGTATGGAATTTGTCCATTTAGCTGTTTTTAGTTCATACCTCCGTTTTTCGTTTTTTTTTTTCTCAAATGCTTAGTTTATAATTTAGGGAAAATAGGGAGCAACTTCTTAGAGCTATAGATTTTAGAAAATGGAGATAGTGGAAGATTGTTTTCCTTGGAATAAATTGTTATTAACAGAGGTATCTCTGAGCTTTCTTTTCTGGAAATGGATGTATTTTCCTAGTTCTATATAAGCTGCGAGAGGAAAAGCTGTTATGCCGTGGAACTGGGTCATACCTGTGTCACAAGCAGTCAGCATGAAGAGGTCACTTGGAGTACAGAATGATGAAGATGTAGAATTAGAGGATACTTTGTTTCATACATTTATTTCAACCGGCCTGGCAAGAAAACTCTCGAATATGCAGAGTGTTGGGTGGCTCCCTTCCCTTCCATGGTGTAGCTGAGCTGGACAGTCCCTGTCAGAGGCCCAAAGAATAGGCTGAGGTGAACAGGTTTGCGAACCTGAACTGGGGAATGCCCATGGGCTGGTGAGAGACACTCCCAGGTAATGTACATCAGGTAATGAAGTCACATTCAGGACAACACCAGGAGGCAGATGTGCAGTCCTTCTTGGTGGCCTCTGGTTCTGAAGATGTGAGGGTGATCTGCACGAATTACGATTTTGTTCCCACTCTCTTCTCAATATGTCACCAGTGGCATATAATGGCATTCTCCTAGTGACATCTGGCCCTTCCTCCCTGCTCCTCATTTCCTCCCTTTTCACCCCACAAACACTCCAGGGACCCTCTGGGCCAACCTCATGCCCTACAGGTGTGGGCTGCCGCCAAGGCCTACAGCATGGTTCCCACTCTGCTGCATGCTTGGCCTCTTCCCACACCTTGGCCCAGCTGCTGTTGCCGCCTGTTGGATAGCACACAACGTGCCACACCTATCAGCGACCAGTTGGACGGAGGAGCTCATCAAACAGGTCCCCACTACCCACAGCTCACCCCCCAGCACTTTCCCCACCAAGCTCTCACTCCATTTGGACTCTGTGTGCTCAGACACCCACAGCCAGGGGCTGCTTATGGACTGGATGCTCCTTGAGTGGTGCCCACATGCCCAATTGCCACACCTCCCCACTCCTCTTACCTCTAAGGCTGTCTCCGCCTTCTAAACACAATTTGGCTTAGTCTAATGGCTTCTTCTGCTTCACTTCATGGAAGCAGCATATGCTTTTGATTGTCTTTATTCTAGAACTAAGAAAAATAAGTTGAAGTATTCCAATATTTTGCCATTTAAAATTTGAAGCAACTGAAAAAAGTAGAGAAGCTTTCCGTGCAGCTTTGAAGTGAATCTGCAAGTCTCTTTCCTCTTCACACAGTAGCAGTGTATCTGTTGATTTGCCTTGGTTGTCATCTTTTAAGTTTCATCACTGTCATGGGTGACTTTACCTTTAAGA